CGCCGCAACCACGTATAAAACCCCCGCCCGCGCCGCCGCCGCCACCCTATTCCCTTCGCCGCCGCAGCAATCACAGGAGCCCCCAGCCCCGAGAACTTCCAGGTCCGACAAGATGCAGATCTTCGTGAAGACGCTGACGGGGAAGACCATCACCCTCGAGGTCGAGAGCAGCGACACCATCGACAATGTCAAGGCCAAGATCCAGGACAAGGAAGGTACGCGAGCGCGTTAGCTCATCTTTCGGTAGCAAGAATATTAGCATGTAACGCAGGCGCTAAGCGGTTTGGTTTCTTCCGTCCGTAGGAATCCCGCCGGACCAGCAGCGGCTGATCTTTGCCGGGAAGCAGCTGGAGGATGGCCGCACACTTGCGGACTATAACATCCAAAAGGAGTCCACGCTCCACCTCGTGCTCAGGCTCCGCGGTGGCATCATTGAGCCCTCGCTGCAGGCGCTCGCTCGCAAGTACAACCAGGACAAGATGATCTGCCGCAAGTAAGTTACCACCTACGCCCTCATCCTGTTAACATTTCTGTGGCCCCGAAATGGAAACTTTGTTCTGTTCAGTGCAATATTATCGTTCGAAAACGTCATCTCGAATTGTAGCGACGATGGCTATTCGTAGGAACTTCACATGGTGTGTGGAATTTATAACCACAGGGATTCATGTATGGAAAACTTTTGAGATCTAATGCTATTAAGAAATGAACAATTTGGCAAACAGAATTTAACCTCAGCATTAGTAGGAGCTTGATATGTAATTACGCGATGAGAAATTTCAATATTTAACCCTGAGTTCGAACGCCACTCAATATTTGACATCCAATTCGCAAGCCTTTCAATATTTGACCCTGCGCATACGAATTCTTTCAATCTTAGGGATTACGAAGGATTTCTCTCATTTCTTATTTCTAGTTGCTTCTTTACACTGTTTAGGACACTGGAAATGACAATACTACCCTCCGCTCATATCAGATGGCCTAGACGCTCACTCAGCCCTCGGTTCCCTCGGTTTGCGCTCTTTTCTCACAACATCTTCCTGGCCGGCCTGGTTTCTGTCAGGCATATGGCCAGTGCTTGATGTAATTTTTTTTGGCTAAGCTAACATCGTGTTAGTACGGGGGCTCGATGCATGTTAGTAGTAGTATTAGCTTAATCTAAATCCAGCTAGCTAGGCATGTGTGATAACCACTTCGTGTATATGGTATATGGCATGCATGTCCGGATCGAGCTGCAGGAGACATCGCCACGCGCAGCCGGGCGGGCGGTCAGACGCGCGCCCGCCACGATCGACAGCACGCGCCGTCCACCCGTCCGATGCGGCTGGCTGGCGGGCGGATCCCATCTCTGACGGCCACCACATGCTGCATGCGCGGGCGTGATGGAGGTGGAGGCGATTGCGACGACTAGAACTAGTATGCAGCGACGACACCAACCAGCGGTGCTCGGCGAGTGGGGCCGGCGGCGGCTAGTCGATCGGGCGCGGAGTGGCGGAAGCGGGCGGCGGCTGGTCGAAGCGCTGCGCTGGCGTCGTGCCCCAGGCGGAAGGGGTCTGGGCGCGGAGGTGAATCGACAGGCGGCGCCGCTGCATGCGGGCGGGTCGGGGTCAGTGGTGGCGTCCTCATGAAGCGCCTCGCTCCTCCGTCGGTCGTGATCGCGACGAAGGAACGCAAATGGTTGCAGGATAGGATAAGAAGGCGTGGTAGTTTTGTCATTTCCATGTTCTGAGGAGTGAGAACAGATATTTAGAAATAGAAAAGAGAGAAAATCTGAGAAATCCCTTATATTGAAAGAATTCGCTTAAGCAGGTCAAATATTGAAAGGCTTACTTAATTGGATGTCAAATATTGAGAGGCCTACGAACTCAGGGTTAAATATTGAAATTTCTCTTATGCGATTGAACTAGCTCAGGTGCTATACCTTGATAACATGAGACCACCAGAGATCATTCAAGCAAATATGCAAAACTCCTTGTTTTGTTTTTCAAAGAAACATGATTTGGCCCTATGGGTGCACTCTTAGTTCAAAATGTTTCCTGCTTGAGCATTTTGCTGAAGTGAGGGGGTGAGGCCAGACATCTCATGACCTCTGGGCATGTGGCTTCTAGTGTATTCAAGCATTGACCTATGGGCATGTGGCTTCTAGTGTATTTCAGCATTTTCTCACCAGCCAATCATTGTTCCATTTCTACACTGAACAAATCATTGAGCAGCCTGATTGTTTCATTTTCCCATTTTTTTTCCTTGCTGTATTACATTTGAGATAACCTATTACTGGCTTGATGACGACTTCTTGCTTTAACCACACTGAATTTGAAGACCGGAGGAGGTGTATTTTTCTTGCTGTATTACATTTGAGATAACCTATTACATTTGCTTTGCTGTAACATTTAGTATTTGGCATCTCATTGTTTGACATCACTGTGTACTTTTAGCTGGAGTTTGGTTCTTTTTGTTCAAGTTGCGTTTCTGTACTCTGACTTTCCTGTTTATGCTTGTGTCTTTTGTACAAATCCGTTCCCTGTTCGCTGTTCTTTCACATGCAACCTAAGCTAAGCTGCAGCTGGGATGTTGCATTATGCAAGGTGATTTTGCTCATTCACCTTTTGTGTTCTGTGGGTACACTTCTATTATTTGGACCTGTTAGAGGTGTATTGGTGCACTCTTGGTGTTGGTTTTTGTTCTTAATGTGAAACTGTGTTATTTTCTTCTTAGGAAATTGATTGGCAGGAGTGATGAATCAATTAGATGCACAAAGTGACCTTATGAGCTGAAACACTGAGGCCTATTTTTTCTCTGATTTGCCATTTTACCTGCCCTTTTCCATGTTATTGTATCAGGAAGTCCTTTTAGGTCATTGCCTCATTGGCCTGATGTTCTACCATTTATCTGCAGATGCTATGCACGTCTGCACCCCAGGGCTGTCAACTGCCGCAAGAAGAAGTGTGGTCACAGCAACCAGGTTAGTGTTACTGCATTGCAAAGTGTTGTGCCTGTATGTAGGCTAGCACACGTCTTCTCTGTCCTGCCATTTTTAAAGCATTGAAGCTCAACTAAGTTAATGAAATCTCTATTGCTTTTCTCCTTTCAGCTCAGGGTCAAGAAGAAGATCAAGAACTGAGGTGTTGCCGCTAGTCAGTTTCATGGACAATTTAAGTCCTCTGTTGTAGCAATGTATGCTGTACTGTGTTGTTGTCTGGTTGTTGAACCGTGTTTGTTTACCCCCAACATTTGGGACTGTTGTGATGTTTCACCTTGTCGATCGTCGATGACGACAGTACAATATGCCAATAGCTTTTGTGCTCTTGTAGTTTTGGTCAGTGTGATGCAGCAATTTTGTTTAGTGGGGGGGCCGTGTCCTTGCTACTCCATTTCAAATTAATTAACTTTAATTTGGCTTTGTCCTAAGTTGTACTATTTTTGTTAACTTTGATCAATTTAGTAAAAAACACATCATGTACAGAATTAAATATTTTAAATACGTTCTCCATAAAAATGTCTCGATAGTGTGTTTATTTAAAACTGTAGATGCTAATTTTCAACCTTGATTAAAGTTAGAGAAGTTTAATTTAGGACAACTAAAGTGCCTCGGTGCCTCACTCTTCCTATAGTCTCCTTGTCCAGAACAGAAGATAAGTACTTTCTCCATCTCAAATTATTACTCTCCATCTTAAACTAAATTAATTTCTAGAGTTGTCTTAAGTATTTTAAACTAATTAAGTTTGATTAACTTTATAAAAGAAAGTATCGCTATTTATGACATTAAACTAGTACCACAAGATGCATTATAGAATACTCGCTTTTTATATATTATAATTATTTATGTGATGGATGCTATTTTTTTGTTGGTCAAACTAAGGTGATTTTAGGAATTAATTTGTTTTGAGACATTGGAGGCCGAAGTGAACGGCAAGCAGTGGCCTCGGTACAGTGCTCGTAGGTTGACATGCTTTGCTCGCAGGTTGACATGCTATCAGCCCTGTTCGGCAGCTCCTGTTCGGCAGCTCGTATTGGCTTATAAGCCAACAGTATTTTTCTCTCACACCAAACAGCCAGCAGCCCAGCCGAAACAACAGGCTATGCTTGTCGAGTATTGTCAGGAAACGAAGGCGCGAACGACTCCAGCTCCCCCTGCAGCACGCCTCGGTGCTGTACTGCTGTCTGTCGCTGCATCTCTGTTCTATGTTTTCTTTCGTATATGACTGCCCCGTGTGCCGTTGCGGGAGCTCAAATGATCCCAATGCATTGCATGCTTCCGAATTTGGGACAAGCGGCAGGTGCCATGGCGCACCTTTGTTTTCCCGAGAAACGCGTCGGTCGGCTGGTGCTGGGAGCGCCATGCTTGCTCTTATTAGCCTCCCCGTCTCCTGCCATCTGCCTCCCCCTCCTCCCCGCGACGCGACGGTCGTCCCCTCGGTCGTCCGGTCGCCACACGCCTTCCACCTCGTCTGCGAGGGGGGAGCAGCGGCGTCACCTCTGCCTTGTGCCTTGAATCGTACGTGTGCCGCCTCGCCTTCGTCTGGCTCCTCTTCCTCCCCTTGCTCTCTCATCGCCTCTCGTCAAATTCTTTTATGGCATATGCACTGCAGCTTCTTTTTCTCCTTGCTCTGATGTATGTTCGGGCAGTTTCGATTCTGATTCCTACCAGGCTGATAGGTCAATAGATTGATTTTTCTTCTTCTTTTGGTAGTATGTGTATGATCAATGGAAGCAAGCATTGGTCGTGTAACCTTCCGATTTTACAGCAACTGTTCATCAGAAGGCACCCCGGCCGATCCGATCCACCGGATCGGCCGCCAGACTGCATATATCCACGGTGGTGCAGGCCGGCCAACAAGATGATCTGCTGCGGTGGTACCGAGGAGGATACGTACGCCACACCTGCCAGCCGTCACCCAGCAGCACCTAGGAGTACGTCGCAATACAACGCAGGTAAAATCTGAATTCCAACATCTCTTCATCATCAGGTCTCAATACAACGCGATACAACACAGTTTGCTACAATGCCAGGCCGCGGCAAACCAAGAGGACCTAATGCGCCGAGGTGCAGCGGGCCGCCGAAGGTCCTCCCCGTCGATGTGCCGGCCATTTCCATGGGCGAGCTGAACAACATCACGGGGAACTTCGGGCCGAATGCCCTGATCGGGGAAGGCTCCTACGGCAAAATCTACCGCGCCGTGCTGACCTCCGGGGAGCCCGTCGCCATCAAGAAGCTCGATCCCAGCGTGTCCAGCGACTCCGTGGCAGACTTCTCTGCTCAGGTTACACCACAACAACTGAATCCAACAGATGGCGCATCATCAGACAGATCATACCCTTTTTTTTACTGAATTGAAAGAAAAGAATGGTAAACCATCCGGTGTGGTTTTCTGATGCAGCTGTCGATGGTCTCGAGGCTGAAGAACGAGTACTTCCTGCAGCTGATGGGCTACTACCTGGACAACAGCCACAGGATCCTTGTCTACCAGTTCGCCTCACACGGCTCGCTGCACGACACGCTGCACGGTAGTACACTTTTATCAGGGTTATTCGCAAATGCTATGGCATGTGATCTGTCAGTCAGTCTGGCACGCTGAAAACCCTGACGTGAGGAAAATGTGAGGATTGCTGAACCGCGCGCGCGCATGCAGGCAAGAAGGGCGTGAAGGACGCGGCGCCGGGCCCGGCGCTGAGCTGGGCGCAGCGGGTGAAGATCGCCTACGGTACGGCGAGGGGTCTGGAGTACCTTCACGAGAAGGTGCAGCCGTCCATCGTGCACCGGGACGTGCGCTCCAGCAACGTCCTCCTCTTCGACGGCCACGACTCCAAGCTCGCCGACTTCAACCTCACCAGCCAGCCGCCCGACGGCGCCGCGCGCCTGCACTCCACGCGCGTCCTTGGCACCTTCGGCTACCATGCTCCCGAGTAAGCTATCCAAGTTTTGAAACAGATTGCTAGAGCAAGATCAAAACGGATTTAACAATGCTGTTGTTGACATGTGGTATCCTTTTCCAAAGGTACGCGATGACTGGAGTGTTGACGCACAAGAGCGATGTGTATAGCTTTGGAGTGATACTGCTGGAGCTGCTAACCGGCAGGAAGCCCGTGGACCACACCATGCCCAAGGGACAGCAGAGTCTGGTGACTTGGGTGAGCCATGCAATGCTCAATGTTCCTGCTGCAGTTTTGTTATTATCTACTCCTGCCCCAGTACAAATCCATAAGCAGAGCTTACTGATATCTGAATTTCCCTGACAAAACCAAGGCCACGCCGAGGTTGAGCGAGGACAAGGTCAGCCAATGCGTGGACCCGAAGCTAGGGGACGACTATCCTCCAAAAGCCGTAGCAAAGGTAACAAGATCACGCTCTGCTGTTAACCGATCCTCCTTGAGATCTTCACATCCTGTCAGTCAAAAACTAACTTGAGAGAATTTCTGTGTTTCATCAGATGGCGGCCGTGGCGGCGTTGTGTGTGCAATACGAGTCCCATTTTCCGGCCGAACATGACCGCGTGGTGAAGGCGCTGCAGCCTCTTGTGAAGGCCGCCGCAGCCACAGCTGGGGCTTAGATGATAATGATACACAAGCATTCATATCTCCAGCACATGTCCTGCAAAGATCTGTTCTTGGTTATCTGGCCCTGTTTGCTTGAGCTTATCAGCCGTACCGTTTCAACGAAATAACAGTGTTTTTCTCTCACAACAAATCAGCATCAGCATTAGCCGTTTTTCCAGCCTGCCGAATAGGGCGTTTGTGTGTACATCTCATCTTCAGTGGTTGTAATGCAACATGCATGTACTGACTGATCAATCTGCAAAGGATTCAAGTGTTCATCACCTTTTTGGGGACTCTTCAATGTAGTTTAGACTCCACATCACTGGAGTCTTCCTTCAGCCTGTTCACTTGGTCGTATTTAACTTATAAGCCATGGTTTATCAGTCAACGAACGATATTTTTCTCTCACACAAAACCAGCCAACAGTACTTTCAGCCATGGCTTATAAGCCAAACAAGCCCAAACGAACAGGGCGCTTGTTGGCATGAAAGGAACTTGCTTGCCCCACAGGACTAGTTATTACAGGCAGAGAGACCTGCCGCACTGCTTTGTTCTTATCCTATCCGTAATCATCGGTGTTATCTTTAACCGTATACCTTGGTGGGACCATCCTGGACATGATGGCATGAGCCTGTCTACTCGATCAAAACGAATCTCTAACCTGCAGCACGGATGGAGGATGTAGGCACGTTATATTCAGACATTCAGTGCAGAATGAGTACTTCCGGGTACTGATATTATTCAATTGTCTCTCGCATCGCAATCGCATGGATTAGCTCCACACCCTCCTGTCCACACTCCACAGGAATACTTCACTCCAAACTTGAGTTGATCGACGACTCGACGTGCACGGCGACAATTTCATGCAGTTGTAAAAGAGAAAGGTGGAAAAACCGCTGAGCACGTGAAAACACAACGCTCCTGGATCTGTGGAAATGAATCAGGTGGGAATCGTTTTGATCCTCCCGAAGCTTACCTCAAAAACACAACGCTCCTGAAAGTGAACTCTTTTTCCCCCCGTTGCGTGTACTGCTGCTACTCTAGCTCTACTGCTGCTCTGTTTCAGCAGAATCCAAGGCAGGCGAGGCGAGAGCACGCCGCCGAGCTGAAAACGCCTCGCGCTAAGGCCGAGTCAGGTCCCGGGCATCGACGTGTCACGTGGGTCAGCGTCACGCGTCGCTTTCAGGATTTACTTTTAGCATCCGAACAAAACACGGAGAGCGAAGCTGCAGCAGCCAGCAAGCTGATGCGCAGCTACAAGCCGGCAGTCGATGCGTTTGTTGGGTTCCCACCACGTACCTCTTGAACTGCACTCAGCTCATCATCATCTCAGGCGGTCAGGCCAGCGTCCATTTCTGTTGCCGTAATCGCCGGCCGGCCAATGAACTGCACTCAGCACATCGCGTGGGGATCGCGGCGAGATCTGATGACCGAGGGGGGCCCGTCCACTGCGCGATGCATCATCGGCTCTCATCGCTCATCGGTTTGGGTTGTCCTCTTCTCGGCGACCTCGAAGGACGAAGGGAATCTGCAGCAGCCCTAGTTGCCCGAGCAAGCGAGCTGCGTGGAAGAGGACACGAGAGCGCCCCGACGAGAGGATGCTAGCATTGCCGCGGTCGGGGTTGGTAACTCCAATGCTCCATTCGATTCTTGCGGTTCCGGAGTCCACTACCTGAGTACCTGGCCTTTTTTTCACTCAGTAGCGTGAGAGCTTTCTTGCAAGCAATCAGCGGCTGTTGGCTTATTGCCAAAACAAAATGAATCCATGCAACCTTACCTTGGCAGCTTGAGGGTGACAAAATCACATCATCCATAGTTTACTGGGGCAGGGTTGCTGGCCCATCTACGTCCAGATATTTTTCTCTCGAGTTTCACACAAAAAGGTCACAACCTATATGATTTGGTGCGTGCTCATTTTACAAACGCACCATTTACTTTGGATTGGCTTGTCACAAAACTACAAGTCTGATGGAACCATCAGTGACATGCTGATAGGGCCTGGATGGCCATGAATGAGGAAAAAGCAACAAAGTTCAAGTTTGTGAGAAAACCAGCCTAAAATAGTGGTAGGTTTCTCAAATCTACTACATAAAATGTTTATAAGTTTATGACCATTAACCATTGTCCATTGGTGGGTGTTGTGAAATTTATTCTTTTATTTCTCCTTCTCTTTGTCGTGATGCATCATGTGAATGTCAAGTCATTTGCACCATATATATTCCTGATTGGAGGCATGTGAGGTTAGTAGAATAGTAGGTTACCCACCGCCGATCGAGCCGTCCAGTACTTACAAGTCCTCTGCTCAGTAACCTCAACTTCGGTTCAGTAGAAACAAGGCAAGAAATTACGTAGGCAAAAGTCCATACATGGGTTACATTGAATCTCAAGAAAAATGCCCAGGTCAGTGGCTGGCCAAGTCCTGAATATTTATTCTCTGTAGTAAGATACCTCAACTTCTCTTTGAAGCTGCATTTATTATATATTGGTACTAGCAAAAACCTAAATGGCCTTTTCTGATTTGGACTATGTGAATGGTTGCAAACATGGTCGTCTGACTCTTGCCAATTGTACCCAGTTATTAATCTCCTCACGGATTGATATGTGGTGTGCTGAGTACTTTGAACCTCAAATGGTGACCAAATGGCCATAATGCCTTAGTTAAGAAGAATAGTTGACCAATTGGGTAGGTCCTGAATAAATTATCTCAGAATACCTGAACTTTTCTTTGATGCCACATAACTAGCAAAATCACAAATGATCTTTGCTAGTTTAGGCTAAATGATCTACCGACCTGCAAACAATATCTGCTTAATTTGTTAAGTTTTTTTTCCACTGATGACTCTCTGGTCTAGCCAGTCCGAGAGTAGGTTTCTGACAACAGCAGCTGGCCATTAGATGACTCAGGGTTTCCCGAATTAGGTCAACTGCAAATGTTTTTTGAACGTATTAGGTCAACTGCAATAACAGGGATTACAGAAGCCAACTGTAATAACCGGGATTACAGCAATCAAAGCCTCAAAAGACTGATGCGAAACCTACTGAATTTTTTTTTTTTTTTCGAATACGCAAAAAAAGCTTTGCGTATCATTGTATTAGTTAGAAGAATTTAGGCAAACATACAACGCGCAGCTTGTATCGAAGCGCCGCAGAGAGGTCAACCTAACACAGCCGTTGTTTCTTTACACAATATCAAATGCATGTCCGGTTTAGTACTCTGATCTGCAGCGAGTTGGTTGACAATACTTTCGTCAGGAAAATGATGGCCAACTGCTAGTCCAGACGATGCCATTTGGTAATGCTGCTCAACGTTGAAACCTTGCGTAAATTGACCTTACATCCAATGCATTATAAATAAAAAGGAAACGACAAAACTAGACGCACGGATCTTCTGATGAACGAGACGCAAATAGTCAAATACTACTCCTCCATACCCCCGCCCCCCCCAAAAAAAGAATGGCATTCCAGTTTTATACTAAGTCAAAGTCATCTTAGATTTGACCAAGTTTGTACACCAATAGTTATATTACTAAACCAGCGTTGTTGAATTCATCACGAAATAGTTTCATGGTGTAACTATCGATGTCATAAATATTAATGATCTTCTATATAAACTGGTTCAGAGAAATAAATCGAACAGAGAAGTAAATGAAATAAACTGTGCTGAACAATATCGTCAAATTTCAGACATTTTCAACATAATTGTGCTGAACAATATCGTCAAATTTCAGACATTTTCAACTTAACTGCGCTGAACAATTTCGACAAATTTCAGACAAGGACAGTGGAAATGTCCAGGAAACTCTCGGTCCGGGTCGACCGGACAAGGCGTCTAGCAGACGGCAAGGACGTGCATTGCAGACTTTCAGTTGTCGGGATCGTCCTCCCCTAGGTGACACCGTTTCGTCATAGGCTGAAAATTCATATGTGGACTGCCTGCTTAGATTTAGAATGGACTCGGCTAAAGAAACCATCAAGCGCCCTAGAAATAAATATACTGATCTAGCCTGATCTTGAATGCATAGTTTGTGTTTTTTTCAGAGAAATATATATACACATCAAGGAGTTTTTGCATCGTAGAAGAAACGGTCCTGAACATGATATCTTAACGGATTCTTGGGTGTGGCTCTCTGATCATGGAGTGTGTGCGCATCTTGAAAATCATAGGCGAGAACAGTGCACATGTCCGATGGCACATGTTTGCTGTCTGTAGGGCTGGCAGCTGGGGCTTCTTAGCCTGAATGCTCCCTACGTTTCCTTGCCCTCTTGACGAGAAACAGGAAAAGAAACTAGTGGACCAGTCTGCCTACCATATTGATACTGTTTGTGCTTATTCAGAATATAGCGATGGACCATCTCCATCTGTTTTAATTCTTACCAAAAGAACCATATAGAATTATAGATCCACATGTACGGGTGTACCTTGGCCTTGGCCACCCCGGAGCTTACCCATATCTTGGCACCGCTGGCTAGTCTGCTAACAACTTCTTTTGAAACGCAGACTCGTTGCGGATTTGCGGTACATCATCATCTGAGTATACTCTAGTACGCATACAAAAGTATCATGTTTCGTGAAAGATTTAAACCCCTTTTTATGATGAAACGAAAGGTTTAAATCTATTATTGTCTCCAACAATGAAACGCACAGAACTTAAAACTCACTCCACTTAGTAAATAAAAGAGATAGACTTGCATCACTGAATTTGCGATTTGTCCCTAATAATAATAATAATAATAATAATGCAGTTTGCGCCAACGGTTCTGATAGGTACGATCTGAGCCGTCGACCGCGCGATCTCGCGGTGCAGGACAGTAGGAGCCGTGCGCCGACCTCGCCCGTGCCCGTTTGCGTTGCGCCTCCCAGTATCGACCGCGGCCGGCGGCCCACGTTTATTGGCATAGGTAGGCGCGACCGCACGGCGCAGAACGCGCGGGTACGGCGGCCTTTGCCATTTCCCACCCTCCATGCGCAAGGCGCCGCAGACGGGGGAGGAGACGACTCGACCGCGACCTTGAC